AGCACCTTTCTGTGTCTCTCTAGTCTCATTTTTCTTTTTAAGTAAAATAACAACCAGAATTTCCTCCCAAGTTCCTGCAAGATTAGCCCTGGCCACACTGGGCCATTTGGAAGAACCCTCTTTTTTCCTGACTGATTAGTTGCCTGTTTCGGTTTTCTGGACAACAGCAACTTTGTTTACACTACTCAAAAGTTTGCCTTTGTGGAAAACTCCACCCCATCCCCAACCCCAACCCCCTGGCCCTGTCCTGTGGCCGCTGTGCAGAGGGGCCGCAGTGCTAGGCCATGTCCCACACTCCCCACACGGCCCAGCCGCAGGGAAGACGGCTCTCCTGCCACCCTGTCCCAGAGTCCCCGCAGCTGAGACCTCACCCTGCCCTGGTGTCTACTCTGTGCTTACTAAAATTGAACTGCAAATATCAAATTCACATAATTTCAGGGAATTAAGGAGAAAACAAAAAAAAAACTATTACAGATTGTTTCCATTCTGGGTATTATTGTCTGACATGAAATGAGAAGTTGTTTGAAAATTTGCTTGAACATTTCTTTTTAATTAAAAAAAAATAGAAATTTAGTCATCCTATTGCCTTCAACTTTAAGGACGCAAGTCTTTAAATTGCCTATTGAAAGGCAATTAATGTAACTTTAAGATTAGTTATTAAAGAAAACATCCATCCATATTTAGGGAATGTGTACACTGACCGGATATTTGATTGCATTAAGGAATTATTGTTAAATTTTTAGAGGTGATAATGATATAATGGTAATGTTCAACAAAAAAGCCTATCTTTTAAATACAAATAACATAATATCTAAAGGAAAATAAAAGTATATGTGTAGAGGTATAGAGTTTGCTGCAAAATAATACAGAAGATGGGATTAAAATGGGTATTTAGACAAAACAAAACAGGATATTATATGGTCAAATTTTCCTAAATACAAATAGTTTAGGGAAAAAAAGCTTTCCTTAATGACCAGGCAAAGAGACTGTTAGAAGGAAAAATGGCAGGCTGAATTCATGCATCACTTCAATTTTTAAAAATGTAAGTTGTTAAACACAAACTAATAGCAAAAATATTAGTCAATGGGTAAAAAGCTTAACATTAATACACCATCTATTATCTCTATTTTTGGTGTGTATCCATCTGTTTCTAGGTGTAAAAACTCCCCTGTCTTCTATACAATTTGACCTTGAATTAAGTTTCTACTCTGTTCCCCTGATAAGCTAATCTAGTGGTTTGTCCAATATCCTGCTAGGCCACGTGGCTCCTAGTCAGCCACACCTTGAGTGGCAGATGGAACCTGGGCAGGAGGAACCGTGGGGGCCCGGTGGGCAGCCATGGCCATGGCAGCACTGAGGGCAGCGACCCTCGGAGCCGGCTGGTCCCGTCTGGGAGCCTGGAGGCCACCCCTGCACACCCAGGGCCTTTGAACGGAGACACTGACCCTTTGGGGAATGAGAGTTTTACGTGAAGGCGGCTCCCACGTTCCTATTCTCCACACAAATCTCGTTTCCTTGCCTCAAACTGCACTGCCCTGTGAAGTAGTGCAAAGGTCTGTGAAAAGCCGTGGCTTCTATTTTGGTTGGTTAAGAAACACAGAGCATGTTGGACTTATAATAAATTACATGTGTGCAACAGCCAATTCTTCCTCCATTATTTTCTTCCTTGAGTAAAGATATTGTTTCATAATGCTTACTCTTGAACTTTTAAAGTAAGCTTAAAGCAAGATTCACAAAAAGTATCTTATACTGTACTTTTGACTGATTGTATTTCCAAAACAGTCCTTTTGTTAGGGAACGGCCTCACTCAACCCCACCGAACAGAAGGAAAGAGACACTGAGGATGTAAAATCACAAGAGGAGTTTTATTGTCTGGCTAGCCAGGGTCCGAGCCCTCGAGCCCCAACGCAGTGGTCACTCTCCTTAGGCAAGGACCCCGACCTGAATTGCGGGGTGCCTTTTATCCCCCCCAAAGGGCCCTAGCAAGGCACAAACTAATTACGCGCTGGTCATGAGCTGACCTTTGAAGTGATTAATTTTTTTTTTGTATCCTGCGCGATCCCTGCGCATCCCACCTCCCTTTTGCCTTTTTCTTCACAACCCAAGAGATAACCGGAGGTGTGAGTATAAACAGATGTGTGCTGTTCGCTAATTGCCTCACCCTACTTCACACAAAGGGGGGGGGAAATTCCTTTCTTGTTGTGCCACTGAGACGCTGATGAGGCTTCATCGAGGCGCCCCCACACTTTAATTTTATAAATTGAATAAAAAACATCACAACTATTTTTGGAATTAATTTAGCTAATTGTCTATGTGAAGCATCACATGATACTGATTGACAACTGGCAGCTTAACTGTGAGTGACATTATTCTTCCACTAATACAATGAAGATAGCACAGAGAACAAGAATGTCACGTCGGACCCATAAGACTCAGGTTTACTCAGTACCAAAGTTTACTGGTTCAAAGGACAAAGATTACTATGAGGTACAGGTGAGGCTTGAGGAGTCTGACACTGCCCTAGAGACTTCCCCAGGTCTGGGGACTGGGAAGCGCCGGGCGAGAGCGGCACAGAACTGCGATGCCCGGCCCGCAGCTGTCCTTGCGGCTCCGGCCTCTTCCTGCTCCATGACGCATCCTGCCCTAATCCTGTGCATACCTAATGAGGTATTGGCGTCCCGTGCATACTTAATGAGATATTGGTGTCCCGTGCATACCTAATGAGGTATTGGCGTCCCGTGCATACTTAATGAGATATTGGTGTCCCGTGCATACTTAATGAGGTATTGGTGTACTGTGCATACCTAATGAGGTATTGGTGTCCCGTGCATACTTAATGAGGTATTGGTGTCCCGTGCATACTTAATGAGGTATTGGTGTCCCGTGCATACTTAATGAGGTATTGGTTTCCTGTGCATACCTAATGAGGTATTGGTGTCCCGTGCATATCTAATGAAGTATTGGTGTCCCGTGCATACTTAATGAGGTATTGGTGTCCCGTGCATATCTAATGAGGTATTGGTGTCCCGTGCATACCTAATGAAATATTGGTGTCCCGTGCATACTTAATGAGGTATTGGTGTCCCGTGCATACCTAATGAAATATTGGTGTCCCGTGCATACTTAATGAGGTATTGGTGTCCCGTGCATACCTAATGAGGTATTGGTATCTGCTGTTCAGAAAACTCACAGGAACACACACGCACGCACGCGTGCCAAAGGTTGTCTTTGGAAATGGTGTGTGACCCGCTCTCTCTCCACCCAGGGCATAGTGGATGCCAGCCTGGGTCGTCGGTGGGCACGAGGAGGAGGCTCCCTGGCCCTGGGCAGCGGGACGCTGGCTGGTGCTCCCCAGCGGGGACTCGGGACAGCGTCCTGGTGAGGGGGCTGTAGGCAGGAGCGGCATCCGGCGTTGGACAACGGGGGCAGCGAGGCCTGCACGGGTGTGGGAGCCGCCGGCGCCAAGGTGCGCTGCCTCCCGCGGAGAGCGCGGGAGAAACTGAGCAACCAGCAGGGAAAGGCTAAGGGCAGCGGCCAGGGCCCTCTTGGGGGGCTCACAAAGGGCTCTTATTTCCGGCACAGTGAAGAAGCAAGGTGAGGACCGGGCAGGGTCGCGCAGCTCCGCAGTATCGTGCTGACTAAGGCACATGCGGTCCACATCAGGAAAACAGCCAGGGTGAGACTCTCGAAACGCGAAGACACCTGCATAGATTCTCCTGAATCTGCAAATTGGTACCCGGTTCCCTGCAGCCCTCGGAGCTCAGAGACGGCCCGGCCTTCCCTACGCACAGCCGGCACCTGCGCCAGGCTGGCCCTTGCTGCGGAGGCCTGCACCCCACGAGGCGATGGGTGTCCCCCTCAGGAACAGCCGGTTCCTCCTTGAGCTGACAGGACACTGCAGGGTCCCCGCCCCCGCCCCAGCGGGCCAGGAGCAGGAGGAGGAGAGAGAAAGACACCGACGTCCACCGACGTCCGTACTGCAAAGGAGAAAGGCGCCGCCCGAGTGGATTTTAGAAGAGATGGCCAGGAAGGAGTCACACGGAAATGTTTGCGTTGCCCTTGCAGATGTTAGGGGAAAGAATGGACATTGAGAAAAAGAAAATTCAAGAATGTGTATGTTTCATGAGAGCAGAAAGCCCACCAGCGTTTTGTGTTCCATGGCAGAGCTGGACACACCGCTTCCCCAGGCCATGGTGAATACTCAGGAGCGCCGCGGGTCGCTAAGGAACTCGATCACAGCTGCCCCTCCCGGCCAGCGCGCACGCGGGACGGCAGTCGCCCTCCGGGGCTCCAGTACGCACAATGAGGCCCCGGCCGCTGGGGCCAGGTGGTAGCGCTCGACTGCCAGGCGCCAGGAAGCTGCAGTTGCCATGGTGACCGGCATGCGCGGAGGGCAGCCCTGCTGGCTTGAGTTTCAGAGTTGTAGAGATGGTTAATAGAATACAGAATCCTCAGGAATGAAAGAGAAAAGTGGCTGAAAAGAGTGCACTTTTTATCTGTAATCATAAAAAAAAAGAAAAAAGAAAAAACCAGGAATGGAGGGGCTGGAGGAGCTGGAAGCTGGGGCAATAGACCCCGTGAAAGTCCTGAGTCCTTGCTCAGCTCCTGGGTTGAACCGGCCTCCTCTGGACCCACGCACTGAAGAGAGAGCCAGTTTTCTTGGAGAAAAGACCTACACCTTTCACAGTCCTTCCCCAAAGAGCCCATGTTGTCTTCCTGGCTGAAGCTCCACTGCAGATAGGGAGGTAGACATTTTGACAAATAATACATACTGGGCTTGAGCAGCTCTGATACTGGGAGAGCCAAAGAATCATCAAGGGGCCAGGAAATAAGTGGCTACAGTCTGGCTCACCTTGGCCTACTGGGCTTATAGACCCGCCCTGTCATTATTTCTCTGGTTTCCAATTGTGCGATTGAAGGTGAGACACTTGACAGTCAGCATCATCCCCCCACTGGGTCTTACACCTGTGCCACAGAGCTGTCATAGAGGGGTAGGCCAAGTGGAAACCCCCCACCTGTCCCCCCACCAAGATAGTACATCAGAAACAACACTGCTTTCCCGTGGGGATGGAGCTTAGTACTGCCATTAAATGCTAAAAGAAGCAGGGTGGTGAGCCTATCCTCTCTCCATTTGTTTCAGCAGTGTGGCCCTGGCAAATGGCATGTGTCCTGGAAGAGTGGCCGACTACCAAAGGTCAAACAACTGGCAGCCCTGACCACACCTGCTGTCCCAGGCAGGATCATTTTCTTAGATGCAGGGTGAGTAGCCATTGATTTGGTAAATCCATTCCTTTTGTTCCTATTAGAAAGGAAGATTGGAAAACAGTTTGCATTTGCGTGGGATGGACAGGGCTATGTTAACTCACCTGCTGTCTGAGATAATATGGTCCTGGGAGGTCTGTGGGATCTGTGGATTCCACAGAGCGTCACAGGATCCCTGCATCAAGGGTGGGTCACCTGCAGCATGTGGACCAAATCTGGCCACCATCTGTGTTCATAAATATATATATATATATGTGTATATGTATATATATATATACACACACATATATATACACACGTGTGTATATATACATGCATGTGTGTATATACACGTGTGTATATATATATATGAACACAGTCACATTCATTCATTTAGGTTTGGTTATAGCTGCTTTTGCATTACAAAGCAGAACTGAGTAGCCACATTAGACACTCGACAGAAAGACTGAAATATTTGCTGGCGGATCCTTTAGAGAAGAAGTTTGCCAACACTTCTTCTGCACTGTATCTGTGACATCATGCTGATGGGACGGGATGATGAGCAGGTGGCTAGTAAGTTGGACACTCTGGGAAGATATATCTACTCCAGAGGATGAGAGATAAATCCTCTGAAAATGTGGGGACCCACAACCTCAACTAAGTTTTTGAGTGCCCAGCTGGGAAGAGCATTCCAGTATATGCCTCCCCAGTGAAGCCAAGCTGCGTAAGCGCAATGCTGTGTCACAAAGAAGAACGTGCAAGGACTGAGAGATCAGACACCATGCCTCCTAGAGGCAGCATGCTCCACATCTGGGAATACAGTTCCAGCTGCAAGCCAGGAGACACGGAAAGATGCCAGCTCTGCATGGTGCCCAGAATAGGACAGGGCTCCTCGGCAGGCCCTGACTGCAGGGCAAGCAGCCTTGCCCTTCAAGCTGCACTGTCCAACAGGCCCTCAGCCCGGAGGTGTTGGTGCTGAGGAAAGCTGCAGTGTGCCTCTACAGCAAGCCCCAATGGGAAAGTCACCACAGAGGCCCATGGGACTGTGGAGAAAGCTACGTTCTCTGCAGCAAAGGACTCCATGCGTTTTGAGCAGCAGGTGCTGACATGCTACTGGAACCTGGTAGACATAGAATGTGTGATGCAGCACTGTTGCCCATACAGATAGAATGACCTGCCAAATGAACAGCTGATGTACTGGGAAAAATACTATTAACAATAATGATAACACTCTCAAGTGACATGGGCCCTCCCTCAGGCCGAAGCACATGCATTAAACGGAAGACCTCCACGATAGGAAGAATGCTCGGTTCCAGAAGCCAAAGGGTGAAACCAGGAGTGGCTCCCTTTACCATCAGTCTCACTGACCCACTAGAAGATTTCGTTTCCCATCTCTACAACCCTAAGCTCTGCAGGCCTGGAGGCCCCGGGTCCCACACTCCTATCGCCACAGCAAGATTTCCATTGGCAGTAGATTCCTTCGTCCAGGATCAGACAAGAAGAGGAGTCATCCTACCGGCAGAGGTAACCAACCTTGATTTTATAGTACACAGTGAGGGAGGGGTATCCCTAGAACCCAAGTAAAGCACTTGGGTGCCCCCAGCACCCGCCCACCCCATTGTACTGGGCATGCGGGCGTGCGCAGCTCTGCCCTGAGAAGGGTGTGATCGCCTGGGGCTCACACCTGTCAGGAGTGATGGTTTGCGGCAGACCACAGGGTAAGCCCCCAAGACCTAATGGAGTGACAGCTGAGAACAAGTGAACTGAGAAGGAGTAGTGGATAAAGGAGAGCAAGAATGGAGGCCCCATAACCAAGGGCAGCAATGGGGCTGTGTCTCTTCCCACTGTGTCTCTCTACAGGGACAGCCAATGATGGGTCTGCTCCGGGCAGCTGGATGGAGACGCAGACCTGTGCGTGGGAAGGCGTGGGTTCCGGCAGCCGCAGAAGAGTGCTACAGTCTCCTGCCGCAGGAGGAACAATTTCCCGACAGCTCTAGCAGTTGCCACGCTGGATCCTCCACATCCGTGTGGGCTTGTGGGCCCTCCTGGCCAGCAGCTGGCAATGCACCCTCTCCTCAAAGACTTGGTTCGAGGGCTCCACTGAGACTTTTTCCACCCAACTGTTCCTGTCCTGCTGTCTCCTGCACAGGTGCAGACCAGCGGTGCCTTCCAGGGCTCGTTCCTCTTGTTCTGTCTCTTCCTCCTTATTTTCCTGGGCATTTCTCCCAATAAATCTCTTGCACATCAGAGTCCATCCTGGTGTCAGCTTGTCAGATGATCCAGCTGACACACGAGGCCATTCTCTGCCACATCAGGACGCCCTCTGCTCCACACGTACACATGAGATTTGAACTGATGCAGAAAGGAATCACTTATACAAAGCAGTCATTTCATTTGCAAAACATTTCCTAGAGAGCCATATTCTATAAATCCATATATTCTTGATTTGACCTCAAGAGCCAGGGACATTTATGCTGACTCTCCATTGCCTCTTTTACTTTTGCACTATTAAATCCTCTCAGGATGGAAAACAGCCTGTCTGTCGAGATGCTCCTCTCCAGTCACAGAGACGTGGCACCTCTGAGGTGCTGGATTCTGTGGCATTCCACCTGCTAGCTACAAGCGCAATTCACTTGCACAAGTGAATTAAGGATTCATGGGGACAACCTTGAACAATGGGAAATGGACACTTGTGGATGTATTTCTCTCGTTTTCAGACAGACCATTCTGATATATCATTTATGCAACTTCTTAGGAACAGTCTTGGGAGATAAAACAAACAGTTGCACATAGCTGCAGCCAATTCAATAATAATTCTCTTAATGCTCACCCTTCACCATGACATATGATATTGGAGTGTTTGTAAAGTTCTGGTAGTATTAAATTTCTTTACCTAAGTGCTATGTACATAATAGATTATTTTATTTATTTATTTCCAATATACATATTTTGATGTCTACAATATCTATGATATATTTCCTCACAAAATTAATTTTTAAAATTTGTTCTGACCTCAAAATAATGTTACCTAGAAATAAATCTAACAAAAAGTTATTAGATTTATGAAAAAATATAAAACTTTATTAAAAGACATTAAAGAACACATAAATATGATATGGATAATATCCTTAATATGATAAGGATGCCAATTCTTCCCATATTGTTTTATATATTCATTGAAATTCAATAGTTTTCCCAAGAGAAATTTTACTGGAATTAGAAAATAAATTCTATAAATTATAGAAGAGTTCTACAACTCTAAGTCAGGCAAGACAATCCTGAATAATGGAGAAGGAGAAAGACATAGAGGAAATAATGACAGTAGATAAAAGGACCTATTTGAACATTATAGTGGTTAAAATAATGTGTGTCTTTGTCACAAAAGTAGATTTGAAAATTGGGACAGAACTGATAGAATGGGCACAGACGCATGCACATGTGGGTTGTGGTATTCAGCAGTCTCCAACCTTTTTGGCACCAGGAACTGGTTTCATGGAAGACAATTTTTCCACGGACAGGGCTTATGGGGGGAGGCAGGGGAGGCAGAGCTCAGGCAGTGATACATGGCCTGGTTCCTAACAGGCCCCGGCCCAGTACCAGGCCATAGCCCAGGGCGTGGGAGCCACAGTGGTATACAATAGGGTTGGTTTACTACTGCGTTTGCTCACCTGAGATAGCTGATTCCAAATGTGGGAGATGAAGCTGTACCTCTATTTAAGCCCACACAGAGAAATAAATTCAGGATGAATTAAGGCAAAATTTTAGGAGTAAATATAACAATTCATTTGGGGCTTAGGAAAGACTCTTAAATAAGACCTAACGTATCATCAGTAAATAAAACTTGATAAATTGGAATATATTTAAAACCAGTAACTTTCATATATCAAAGGAATCTTTAAAAGAAATAAAAAGGTGCAAAGTTCATGAAGATATTCAAGATATGAATAAATATAGATATGGATACAAATCTGAAGACACAAACATAACTAATAGCAGGCAACATCCATCACAACATATAATTAAAAAGTATTAATTTCCAGAATATGATAGAATTTAAGCTAATTAGTAAAGGACAACAAATACCATTAAAAATGATCAAAAGTTATAAATGAAAAGTTTCTGTTCAAGTCCTTTTCCCACTTTTTGATAGGGTTATTTGACTTTTTCTTTCTGATTTTTGTGAGTTCTAAATAGATTGTAGTTATCAGCCCCTTATCAGATGTGTAGAATGCAAATATTTTCTCCCATTCTGTAGGCTGTCTGTTTACTTTCATGACTGTTTCTTTGGCTGTGCAGAAGCTTTTTAGTTTGATCATGTCCCATTTATTTATTTTTGTTGCTGCTGTGATTGCCTTTGGGGTCTTCTTCATAAATACTTTGCCTAGGCCAATGTCTAGGAGAGTGTTTCCAACATTTTCATCTATAATTCTAATAGTTTCATACCTTAGGTTTAAGTCTGTTATCCAGTGTGAGTTGATTTTGTGAGAGGTGAAAGGTGTGGATCCTGCTTCAGCCTTCTACAAATTGCTATCCAGTTTTTCCAGCACCATTTATTGAAAAGGAATTCTTCCCAGTGTATTTTTTGTCTGCTTTGTCAAAGATTAGATGGCTATATGAGGATGGTTTTATATCAGATTCTCAGATCTGTTCCACTGGTCAATTCTATTTTGTGCCAATGCCAGATTGATTTAATACTACAGCTTTGTAGTATAATTTGATATCTGGCATATTAATACCTCCCATTTTGTTGTTGTTGCCTAGAATTGCTCTTGATATTTGGGGTCTTCGTTGGTTCCATACAAAGCGTAAAATTATTTTTTCTATATCTGTGAAGAATGATAATGGGATTTTAATAGGGATTGCATTGAATCTGTAGATCAGTTTGGGTAGTGTAGACATTTTAATGATGTTGAGTCTGCCGACCCACGAGCATGGTATGGATTTCCAACTGTTTACATCCTCTGCTATTTCCTTCCTCAGTGTTTCATAGTTCTCCCTGTAGAGGTCTTTTACCTCCTTGGTTAGGCCAACAAACATATGAAAAAATGCTCAACATCTCTAATCATCAGGGAAATGCAAATCAAAACCACAATGAGATATCACTTAACTCCAGTGAGAATGGCCTTTATCAAAAAGTCCCCAAACAATAAATGCTGGCGTGGTCGCGGAGAGAGAGGAACACTCCTACACTGCTGGTGGGACTGCAAACTAGTTCAACCTCTGTGGAAAGCAATATGGAGATACCTTAAAGCTATACAAGTGGATCTACCATTTGATCCAGCAATCCCATTACTGGGCATCTACCCAAAAGATCCAATGACACTCTACAAAAAGACACCTGCACTTGAATGTTTATAGCAGCACAATTCATAATTGCAAGGCTGTGGAAACAGCCCAAGTGCCCATCAATCCAAGAATGGATTAATAAAATGTGGTACATGTATACCATGGAGTACTATTCAGCTCTAAGAAACAACAGTGATATAGCACATCTTGTATTTTCCTGGTTAGAGCTGGAACCCATACTACTAAGTGAAGTATCCCAAGAATGGAAAAACAAGCACCACATATACTCACCAGCAAACTGGTATTAACTGAGCAGCCCCTAAGTGGACACATAGGTACTACAGTAATAGGATATTGGGCAGGTTGGAGGGGGGCGGGTGTATACATACATAATGAGTGAGATGTGCACTGTCTGGGGGATGGGCACGCTGGAAACTCAGACTTGTGGGGGGAGGGGGGAAAGAGCATTTATTGAAACCTTAAAATTTATACCCCCATAATATGCCAAAATAAAAAAATGTTATAAATGAGCATTTTCTAGACAAGGAAATGTAAATCTCTAATACTTTTATAATATATGTACAAGTTATATACCTGGAGGGAAGAGTAATGTTTTAAGTACATTCGTTTTTAAAGAAAGTTGAAAACACTTGATATAAGAATTCTTCAGAGAAGAAAAGGTAAATAAAGACAATAAATAACATTCAGAAACTGATCAAATAGAGAATAAAATACAAAAATCTCGTCTTTATAATGATGAGTTAATCATGTCTCCAGAAAAACTGGCAACTGATTATATAGATAAATAAATGCTAGGTGTGATAGGTAAGGGAAAATAGCATATAGACAAAGAAAATCAGATTTTTAAAGGTGGAACTATAGAGCAATTTTTAAAATCATAAAACCAGGTCTTCAGATGCATCCTACAAAATTTCAGAGAACAGATATTATGCGTATTACTAATAATAGTTACTTCAGAACATATGAAAAGTTGCCCAGTTCATTTTATAAAGCAGCTAAAATATTCAATCCAAAACTGAACAAGGATATAACATAAAGGTGAAATTATAATCCATTTCACATGTGTATCTAGATGTAAAGTTATAATCTAAACATGATATTCATCTCGAGTTCCTCGAATCTAGATTTCCACTATTCGCGAGTGAATAAGCAAAGTGTGGTGAATACGGACTCTGCAGTGCATGGCAGCAGCTAGAAACAAGAAGTCAGTTCTGTGCTTAGAAACATAGAACTAATGTATAGGATACGTACACACACTCAAAACCAGGGAGGGGTGCCCCTCATGGCGGCCGAAAAGCCCCAAGAGGCACAGCAGGCAGGCTGGGGACCCACGAGGGCCGATGCTGTAGTTCCAGTTTGAGTTCAAGGCCTGAGAACTAAGAGCCAATGGTGTAAGGTCCAGTCTGAGGTTAAGAAAGAACTGACAACCACTTCATGCATTTGCGTAGGCCAAGTTCGCTGTTACTCAGCCTTTTTGTTCCATTTACGCTTCAGTTGTGGATGGGCATAAGGCCCACCCACATCAAGGAGGACCATCTGCTGTACTCAGTCTACCAATTTAATGATAATCTCACCCCAAAACTCCCCCACAGACACTCCTCCTGTGTTTGACCTGTTTGGGCACCCTGTGGCCCAGTCAAGTTGACATGTAAAATGAACCAACACACCTTGAGTATCTTTAGTATCTCAAGATGTACATATCCTATGATCCAGAAAGTCGACGGATAGATTTATAACTTAGAGAAACATTTGTGTATGTACACCAAACAACTCAAATATTCAACAACAGGTACCTAACTACACAGTGATTTGCAAACAGTGGAATTTTGTAAGCAGTGGGAATGAATAAATGCATTACGTCAATCAGCTTGGATGCATCTCAAGTATAAGTACCGACAGAGAAAAGGCAAGTCACAATAAAGGCATCCAGTATGTTTCCAATTTAAAAAAAAATAAATAAAAAGATCAACACTAAGTTCAGAAACAAGACTGCCTGTGTGAGAAACGGAAGGGATGATGGGAGTCGGCACAGGGCCATTGCCGGAGTGTCGTCATGACACAATTCGCAACCTGAGTGTTAGGAACATGATGTTCTTTTTATTATTCTTTAAAATATGCGTCTGTTTTATAGGCCCTCATGCGCCTTTGCTATGTTGTATAAAACATTTACAAAATAGCATTTGGAGTACCATGTTAGATTATTTGCAGGGCTTCTTTTACAGTCAAAACTTGTAAAAAGTCCCATGTAATATTTTTTGCTTAGCTTTAAGGAATTTTATACCTAAGAGCTGCTACATGCAGGCTACTCACTAACCAGGACAAAATTAAGGTTCAGTGGGAGGTACATGTCATGCAACTTCAGAACCAAAATCTGCAAGTGACTGTTTCTGCGCTTGCCCTGGGGTTTGCTGGCGGAAAACCCAGGACAGCGAGGCCTCCGGGACCGTTTCCTCCTGTGCAGACACTGGATGCTGATGTCACACTGTCCTTCCCACGCAGCCATGGCAGCACACTGCTCTCTCTCCACATG